AATCAGACTTTTTTCGTATGACAAAGTATACTAATGACAGCAAGCTGCCAGCGCGATCATTTTGTACTCGGTAGCTGTCTAACTTCTTAGCATCACCAAAAACACTGCCCTGTGCAAAAGTCTGTTTCTCTCGTCTGTACCTAACCCTAGCATGCCACGTTTTACGTTGGTCCTTGCTCGACGTATACGAAATGAACGAAAATGCACTTTTGAACATTTAGACAAGACATTCAGCACCGAGCTTGAACTGTGCATAATTAACAGATTTTACGTGTTTAGCGTTTCTACCATTGTCAGTCTCTGTGTGTGGTAGGCAGAGCTTACCTCTAGTCGTAGTCAGTGTCTAAATACCGGTATAATCTTACATTGAATCTGGCAAAATTTCGAAATGGTTTGCACCTGAGGGATCTGTAAAATGCATGAAAAGGTTGACAGATTTGAAACACGTCCAAAACAGGTTTCGACTGATCGGCAGTTCCAGCCAAACATAAGAGAAATTGTGAGTTAATATTCTAGCTTGTTGCTCTGCGTTATAAACTTGCTCGGTTATTCAAGCGTCCGACTCTGTACCGAGAGGCCTTGGGTTCGAGCCCTGGTCGGGTCACTCGCCCCTTTGCCGAGGGACTTCAAGGGAGGAAAACAAAGCTACACGCTATACTTACAAAATAGCTCTTGCTGCTTTTAAAATAAGACACTCTTAGAGGATAGCATGGAAAAAGAGATCAGCGCTTCACCATTGAGTTTATGAGAAAAAGAGCGTAAGAAACGGTGTCATCATGAAAGTATAAGGAAAACCAACCTTACAACGGATAACAACTTTTCTTTTCTGCCTTTATTTCAGCTGATGAATTTAGCAGGTTAAACTGGTCAAAGGCTGGTCATAATACGGACTGGGAGCTAGTACAGTGATTCCAGTGGTTATGTGCCTACCAGCTTTCGAAATTTCAATTAGTTAACTTATATCCGGTCTCTTCAAGCATTATAAAAATGGGTCCGAACTACCAACGCCTAAAAAAGTTCTCTATTTAATCTGATGCTTATGGATATCGGTGGAACATGCCAAACCTATGAAGAACGTCTGATTATTCACCGTTCGATCTAAATAGTCAGGAGTTGGTATATCATATTCACGATATGGTTGCAACTCTCACTTACCAATTTATCTAGCCGTTCATTGCAAGCAGAGAGTAAAAGAATTCAAATTCCCTGCAACATTCGTTGATTTTACCAAAGCATTTGACTGAACCTGATGAAATATGTTGTGAAAACTTAATGAACAATGTGGGATTCCAAAAAGATTATTCATATAAATAAAACGATGTATGATATTTTGTCAAGTGAAGTATAAATTGATATCATATTTGAGAAATTCTTTCTTACAAAGTTCAGAGTGAGGCAAGAACAAGAACCTTCTCTGCTGTCAGCGATGCTTCTTGAATAAGTGCTCCAGTGCATACGAACGAAAGAGTGAGGGAAGCTACGACTGCAAGAAGAATGAGCAACGTTAGCATGAACTCACTGTCACATGCGGATTATGTCATTTTGTTCGCAGACAGCTTCGAGGCCGCCACATCACTCTTCCAAACTCTGATATAGAGCTGTGTTAAAGTGGGTCTCGCGATTAATTAACTTCAAGAAGACGAACTGGGTGAAAATTGGTAGAGCAGAACTCAGACCATTGCTTGGCTTTAGACACCAAAGTTACGGTTATCGGTAGACTCAGAAGTCGTAAAGAACATGTGACTCATTCGCCACCCGCTCTAAACAGCCTCATGTTAGTATGTTCAAGACGTGGTTGCAGCTCTCTCGTTTCAGATTTTCGCTGACGTACTGATCGACCTCAAAATGCAGAGCAAAACTATTGCCAAAGTTCCAATAAATTCGAATCCGCAAAATTATCGCTGATTTGTTAAATCGTCCACTCACTTGCTATCATTAGACCTTGGGTCTTTGTCCATTTGTTTTATAATGGTTCTGCCTCTGTGACGCTATTGGTTTATGGTAAACAGCTGGTACGTATTATAACGATAGATCTTTTATTTCACATCCATTTATCATGCCCTTAAGCTTACTGAAACAGACAGGTACTTAAGAAGTAAATTACCATACAAAACGTGCCGTTATCTATTAGTAATGATCTCCTACAGTTTCTACGCTTTTCACACTTATCTACTTTTGCGATTGGCGCTTGCGTTAAATTATGAATGACCATTTGTCTGATTGAAATAGCTTGAAACAAGAGCGATAGGTCATAAACGCGGCTAAGCACTTCAAGTTTTAAAAATATGCATGACATTTCATTACGCATAATTAGTCAAGCACTACGGCTCTGGTATTTACATATCGATATGCATACTGTAACGAAGATTTACTAAATACATTACAAGAGCCTGCAACGCTTGGTATACTTCCAAGCATACGAAAAGGGGGACATTGCACACGCACGTTGGAACAGAACGAGGAGGAGTCACGATCCACACGGCTTCATCTTCTGGCACAAGCGATTCCAGCTGATACGTGCACGACAGAGTTCCAAACTCATGCATTGGATGGCAGAACGGAAACTCTGCGGCCGTAGTTGTCATCCGAACGCTTGACTGTTGCTCGATTTCGATCGCTTGACTAAGACCAAGACTGAGATCAGATAGTCGGAGGTCAATAAGGGGAATAAGAAACAATAGTGTATAAAGACGATGCGAATGCAATCAGCTTATGTGTCATCACCACTGGCAGCCAGGTAAAAAAGCCAAGTCAAAAACTGTCAGCATCATGATCACCGGACAATGCGCCGCCATGGATATTACACTGAACCGGACAAGTGGCCGGCGCGTACCATCACACCGCAACCTCCGTTCATTTGTCTGTTCGCCCAGTGAACGAGGAGGCACGAGGGCTCAATCTTTAGAGTCTTCCGTCGATTTTGCAGTAGTGGTGTGGTTATAAAGTCCTTGGGCCATCAGATGAACCGCCAGGCTGTTACAGCTGCTGGTCTGTTTCTTGATCTTGGCTCGTTTGTTCTAGAAATTTGCCGTTAACCGTGCGCTGTACGCGTACAATTCAAATCGTCGCCATACCTGAAACCATATCTTAATCTGAGTCTCGTTCAATTCCAGTTCTTTGGCTAGTTCTTGACGTCGTTTTTCAGTGAGGTAGCGACTCTCCTGGAACTCCCTTCTCAAACGTTCCAGCTGATCGACCGTAAATGCTGTCCGAGGTCGTTTCTCTTCAGGCTTCGACCTCCTCTGCACCCTCCGACATCTCGGGCCTGTAACAAATACTTTGCATATTACCAACGCCAATTTAAATGCTGTGACAGGAGGACATTTGAGTACAATTTTCATAACAAACATATAGATCATTCGCCGATAGTAACGCAGTTGATGTTTGACAAAAATTAGGTTTAAGGGCCACCACCAGCATTATTTGTCAAAAAATATCTTTCGATAATGTCTTTTGACCGACGACAACTTGCCGGCAGAAACTTGGAATGACACCGGATGACGATATCAGCAATTGGATGGTAAATAATATCTTTATTATCATTGGCCTAGTCAGGATCAGTTGCAACAATGCCGCTCAAAATCTTATCCCATGAATATACGCTAACTGAAGACAATGTATAAGTGCTGTACGTTGGAATGTTGTGAATAAGGGTTAAAAGATAATATGGTAATAAAATCACAGTGCTATATCAAAATCAATGAACAAATAACCATCGAGTTCGGTTCAACAATACTCACCATCGAAGTCTTGCGGAGTGAAACCGTGACCCCTAGTGTACAGTCGTTTAGTACCTCTGGGTGTGACCCAAAAATTTTAACTGGTGGCTCAAATTAGATAGACAGAGAAACGAACAGTGAACTGCTCATACTTGGTTTCCTTTGGAATGAAACAAATTCTTCGAATTCTTCACTCAGTGGTTTCATACAGTACTGCACATGTAAATGCAACAAGATTATTCACTGCCAACCTCATCTTCGCTGCTTTCCATTCGCTCTAACAGAAATAAACGGTAGTCTCAATTTGTCAGAAAGTTGAAGGTGACTCATTACCGTTTTCCCATTGTCATCCCCCATATGTTGCAAGAGACCA